AGATTACTGTAGAATAAAGATAATGTAATATATGGTTTTATGAATATAATTTCTTATCTCAATTTTTTTTTTCAGTATGATTTATGTTCTCTAAACACATAAAGATTCTCAGTAAATGAATTATTGACTGGTTGAATCTTTTTGATTTTTTTTTTTTTATGTAATTATTGTTATGTGTGAAACTTAGTACGATAATAAATTATGTTGTGAACAAGATAAATACTTGTAAAATGTTTACTTTGTTTCATATTTTTTGCGCGTATTGTGAATCTTTTGCACTTACTATTAGAGTAGGGTTTTAGCCCTTGGTACTGAAAAATGTTTTCGCTATGGGACTTTGCTCCTGTTTCCTCACCACTACACTTTGTTTATTAATTTTTAGCGTTTTCCAAAATTCTATCCAGATTAATGCCCTTAATATTGTTAAATTTTTTGACGTTTTAACTCATGTTTTCATCTGGCAGACAGCATTCAGAAGATGACCACCGTCCAGACCGGTTCAATTACTATGCAGTGAACGCTTACGGCTGGCCCCAGATCCATTCACTTGATTTGATATTTGTGTTTATTTCGTGCAATGTCTGTGTAGTTTGTCTTGTCTGCAGGTTTGTCTTATCAGTTCTGCTGCACTTATACTAATAGATTAGTCTCCTAGTTTTACCTTAATGTCCACTATTTTTCTCTGGGATATAAAATGGTATATCGATTTTATAATTAAGTTATCATCATATGAAATGCTGACTCCGCATCACAGTATTGGGAAATGTCACTGTCCCCTAAACCCAATTTATTTGAATATATATTATGTATAATAGAGTAAATTATTGGTTGTTAAGAGTTAGTAAATAGACCATTTATCATGGACTGTTAAAACAATAACAAACCTATTATATTATTATATATAAATATAAGCGTGTAGGTGGAATAAGTATCTGTATCATGTGTGAAACCAATTGAGTTTTAACAAATTCCTGTATGGTTGTCAATAAAACAATTATTCAAATGTAATGGATATTTTCACTACTTATTTTTCATCTAACAAACACTGTGGAAAAGCAGTCTGGGTGAAAAAAATGAAAAGGGGTTTGACGTAATACTTTTCTTCACCGACTGGGCTAATGAAGACAGGCATATGCCCTGAGGGAAATTTGGCCTGGACAGTGGCGCTACGGCGTACTCTTATCATCTGTCAAGGGTTCTTTAACATACATGGGACCTCAGTTTTTGTCCCATCAAAACACCTGACAGCTGTCCTTTTCAGGCCCTCCATCCTACACCACTGACAAAGGAAACCACACCAAAAAATCCAGAGGAACTTGCTCTGCCAAAACCAACAGCGAACCCAAGACCTCCCGGGTAGCGAGCTAGCATATTAGTCACTGAGCCACTGCAGCTTCATTGAAAAATAAGGATGCCAAAACAGCTGTTTAAATGCAAATCGGGAGTAGATTAGCAGATATATTTTATGTTAGGTAATTTGTATAGCTATGAAATAATATTTAAAGAATATCTGGCGCATGCTAGATAATAATTAGTGCACACTAGATAATAACTGACTTATTCATAGCATTAATGTAATAAATTAAGTATAGTTTCACTAAGAGTGTACCAGTACTATGGTCGAAAATTTTGTCATAGAGTCTATACAGAAATAAACACCAATCTGATGTTTGTGTGATATTTAACTAAAAACATTTGCGCTGTCCCTTTAATATCAGTTTAAGTCATTTAAAACTTTGGATAATGTTTGTGGCTAAAATCTACACTAGACTTTTCAAATTGTCAAAGGCACTAGCTCCTACAATTAATGATCCGACATTATCTGGTGTGCTCTAGTTATCGGATATATTTTCTTTATTCTGTGTCCCTTGCCAGGCCCCATAGAAATTTTGACTCAGCAGTACCAGGAAGTTAATATAAGATTAAATTTGTTGTAAACTCCCTGCTTATTAATTTTATCCAATTCTGATAAATAGCCTTGATTGAGAGAAACGTTATTTTTGCTTCAATATTTCTCTTTTAATGTTTTCTTTACAGAATGACATAAATATAAATGGAGAAACAGGTGAGGACTGTATTTACTTACACTTTTAGATATAGAATATAATAATTGGGTATAGTGTTATAAATGTACTGGCTGATTTCCAGTAAAGTACATTTTCAAATTATGTGTCAGTGACGTAAGCTTTATAGAAATGTTTTCTTTTCATACCTATAATAACAGTAACATAACAGGTACCTAACATGTACAGATTATTAAACTGATATATATAGGTTTGATAAACTGTTATCTCATCTGAACAAGCACTTGATGTCTTTGTACAAATAAATTCATTTCCAGATAAATAATGTAAAGAAAAATGAAACAAAATTTAAAAATCAGGTGTGTGATTTGTATCTTTGAAAAATTTCACAGCTGTTTGATTATTCAACATTTGATCAAGAAAACCAAATCAAAATAGATAATATCCTGACATGTATTCCATCTGATTAAAAACAGACCATCATATAGATTTCACAAACATGGTTAGATAGCGGTGGGTGTGTTATAATATCACAAGGGATGCATATTGTAGTATACTGGACAAGATAATATATGTAAGATTAAAAATGATAATTCCTTAAGTGCCTGTGCTATTTTTCTCTTTAAAGGAAGGTATCTCTATATTATACAGCTGCTGATGATTGAAATTTCGTCCCATATTGTCACCACTCCAGTGTTTATCATCCAACCTTTTTAAAAATGTATATGTTGTTTACATTGGTATGGTGAAGAATCTTATTTACTTTCAATCATTTCAGTGAATTACTTCTAAAGTTATGTATCTTGTTTCACTTCATAGAATCTTGTGATCCCTCTAAGAACAAAAATGATCTTCAGATCTCTTTGAAACTTATATTTGTCTATTGAATTTCAACATTTTCTTATAATTATGTTTCTTGTAGAATCTTGTAGAATCCTGTGAATGCTTTGACAACAAGAGATATTCATTATTCAAATTAGTGAAACAAACAAGTCCATTAAATTTCTATTTCTAGAGTTATGGACCATGTTTCACTTTGTAGAATCCTATGAGTGCTTTAACCGCAAAGCCATCATCTGATCTACTGTATATGGTTGTTCTTTGTTTTGATTATTGTGACAGTTTTCAAAAATTACTTTGAGTTATTGCCCTTGAAAATGTGATATTATGAACGCACCCAGTGATATTATACAGTTTAAGGATTTTGCTTTTTATATACCAGGTACATAGAAATTTACAAGGATACAACCTTTCTAGATTGTTCAGACAACTTAGCAGTTATTAGCATATGTTTTGTTGCCTGGCAACTTTCAGTGCATCTACAATTTTATTATTATACATGTACACCTGCACATGTCTACTAACAAATGCATATTATTTGCATTAGTTACGTGAAGTTAACACCCAACTCTAGAAATTTGTTCACATGCCACTACAGAATGTTCTTATTTCTTACACGTACTGCTATTCTAGATAGAAGTAAAACACAGGACGGAGGTGAAACATTCTTCTTCTAAAGCTGTATTCTTTTCACTTAGGCCCTATTTTCTAGGTATAGAAAACCTTGTTGGTCTTAGAAATTTTACATCATGGGATTTAATCCATATGTCAATATTACAGTCAGGCTGTGTCAATTCTAGGTGTAAAAAAACACATATAACACACGTTTATACAAGCCTTAAGGTAATGACGCAGTTCTGCCTCTACCCGGAACTAAATGCTCTTTGTAATGGTCAGTTAACTGGGTCACTTATGTCAACAGAAAAAAACTTGTCCAACATTAGGTATAATTAGTAAACTCCTCACAGTCCAATCTTTAACAAACTGTAAACATCTAAATATTTGGTTGTATGTCTGTCATTAATTCAATGCATTTTCTATTCCTTTTAACTTTCTACCAGTACATAGAAGACCACCGTCACAATGATTGTCTTATAAACATCTCACAGTGTTTCTTTGATAGACTATAAAAGAGATCTTTTGTTCCGCAATATCAATCGAGTAACCTAATGAAAAGACATATTATTATCTACCGGTAGTTTGCTTCGTTGTGTGGCAGGCACAAATGTTAATGTTTCCTTTTTCCTTACCTGTTCAGCAAGAGATATTTTGGCAATGATTTTATTTTAAGTGTGTGTTGATCAAGACAAATTTCTTGTTTTCATCATGTGACATGGGTTGACATCAAACCAAATTGATATAATTACTGGGTTATCTAACATAAATTGAATACATATCATACTTTATTTGGTGGTAACATACTTTATTTACCAATCGTATTTTAATTATTTTACATGAATCTCAATTTTGGTTTAGCAAATTTATAGCCTGGTGTACACATAGTTTGTTGGACCAGGAAGTGGGTGGCAACTCCGTCTCATCTTCTTCTTATTCTTGGGGGTGACACGCTTTGCAAAAAGCCAAAGACTCCAATTAAAGTACAATCGACGTGAAACTTGGCATGCTTGTTCCTTGGACGGTAGTGCATCGAAAGATTTCGATTTTTAATATGATGTCACTATTCCAAGATGACAGAGATGACTTCATGCTCGATTCCTTGTCCAAAGTATTTTCATACTTTTTTTTTAAGACTAGAGTTATAATATTCATCAGTTTTTCTTAACAAATATCAAAATCGATTAGTTTATGTTTTTTGAGAATAGACTTTTATCTGCCAGTCTGTATTGCATGTTGATATTTATATTTGCATCCTTACCACAAATGTTTCAGGTGAGATAAAATATTTGTTGTCAGAAAGCTCAGTAGCAGGTATTATAAACAAATTTTATGGGTTGTATGTGTGAACCCTAAGCCTGAAAGATTATTTTTACAGACTTGTTAATTCACAAAGGTTTAATAAGAGCCCCCTAAGACTGGGTAAAGACAGTGGCAGCCAGCATATATACCGCGTAATAATATAAAGTTAGAAGCTGTCTATTTTCGTTTATTATATACCTTATTTGTAGATGTGGCAGAGGCAGTGTTTTCTAAGGATTTTCGATGAAAATTTGTATATTGTGGACTCAATCCTATTACAAATTTCTGTATTTTCGTGTATAAGGCACCAACTGAGTTAATGAAGAGGGGCATACACCATGCAAGGTGAAATTTTGCCCAGTGGTGCTATATATGCCATAATAGCAGTTTGTGTCTTTTAACATCACACTATTTCATCAATACTGAAGTTTCTGTATTGGCTCAATATTATAGGATGGCATGCACAAGGCAGAGTATACTTAATTTTTCCGAAATACCTAATACTACTTTGTTTTTTGAACATCTGTTCCCCTAGGGAAATTATGCTATTGTCTCTATGTATCTATGAATCTGATTGCTTTTTAGAATTGATGATACAACATTTTATTTCAGTTAATGAAGTAGAACAGGATCTATTATTTTTCTATTAGGTTAATGTACATGTGCTAAATCCAATCAGATTATTGATAACATAATGCAGTTCTCCCGTCAAAAAGGCAAAACCCAGTAACTCACTTTTTTCTTATTTTGAGAAAACAAAGGAAAACGTAATGAATGAAAATTAAACGCCAGCTCATCCATTGATTTGACTATTGAGTTACTAGGTTTTGCTGTGGTATACTAGGCAAATGAAGGAAGTTGCTAGGTTGTGTCATGGGTGTAACTGCTTACAAAATCAAAAGATTGGAATATCTAGTACAACAACAGGAAGCACATACAGTAACTAAAAATTTGGTCCTAACTCAATTTTGATAAAAAAAAAGTAGGTTTTGCTTTTTGACGGGAGAGTTGTTTTTTAATTTTGTGATATTTTCAGAGACATACATGCCATGCCATGCCAAATGCCAAACCAAATACCATGCCATACCATACCATATATACCATACCGGTTAAATTGTATTGACAGTAAGTGTATGAGTTTTTAACATGATATGATCAATTAAATTGTTAACTTACAATATAAGTGTACTATATAATGTTTAATACCTTTTCAGACTACATTAAAGATGGGTTCCCAGAAAAGTATTTATCGGGTGGTTATTTTCCAATAAAAGTATGGCAATTTTGGTATATATGGAAAGTAGAGATATCCAATCTTACTAGAAAAATACTGGATTCCCCGAAAAACACTCATGGAGCGTATACAGGACAAAAATGTAAGGGTTCCCCTAATCGACAGCCCGACGATTAGTAATTTCTGCACGCGTGATGTCAAAGGTCACACACGGAGATTGAGCGCTTGATGTACAAGTTGATAAACTTTATGAAGAGTTAGGCGTACAACACTTTCTGAGATAAAAATGACGGAAAAAGACGCGGGTAGTGGATTATCCGGGAATTTAATTAGGATTCGATATTTGTAATAAATAGTAAACGATTAAAGACAACATTGTCTTATTTATGCAATGAAATTTCCTCTGACTTCCAAGAGAGGTAAGTCACGTGACGTAAACATGACCTGGTTTGATCGAATTTTCATAGCAGGGCATTCCTTCGCAATTACAATGTTTGAGAAGGATTTGAAGCAAAATTATGACAAATTAATTAGTTTGAATATGTTTTTAGTCCATATATTTAAATCACCCAGTTTGTACGTGGGAATGTATCTTTAAAAGTCTGTTTCAGAAAGACTTGAGAAACTTAGAAAACACTTACACAGCAATTGACAGACTTATAGGGTTTCAGCCAGTTTATTGCAGTAAATGGACAGTAAGCATTGATGTAAAAAGACATTCATAAAGCATCTGAAATTCCTTGATAATAGTGGTGATATTTCCATGTTGTATCATATATACTAAGCAGCAAAAGAAACGTCAGGTTGGTATGTTACTCTGAATAGACGCATTGCATAAAACCTGCCAACCGTTTTTATTGTATATTTGTAACCACATCTCCAACTTTACCTGAGCAATAAGGTTTCTTCCCAAACATAGAATTGAACCCAGGAAATGTTCTCAAAAACGCAACCGGACTTCTGAGATGGTAATGGGTTCTCCATGATTTTCATGTAACTCATGCTGCACTTGCTGTTCACTGGGACCAGTCCTATAAAATGCACCCCCATACCTGGTTGAATCATTCACACAACTCCAGCAGCATGCCACGACTCATGACAGCTCAGAGGAACCAGGCGCTTGGAAGACTCGACGCTGGCCACACTGCCCAAGCCGTTTCCAATCACTTCCAGATCAATGTTCAATGTTGCTTCAGCAACGCTTTTGGGCCACCAATACCATGGATGATCTCCCCCGAACTGGTAGACCAAGGGTTACCAGAAGGCAACAAGACCGCCATGTTGTGCGACAGCACATGCAGAATCCCTTCACACAGGCATCTGAGACAGCACGTCAGACAGCGAGAACACATGGACGACCCATCAGTACCGATACAGTGCTCCAAAATATCACCAGAGAGAACATCCATTGCCGTATACCTTACCGTGGACCGATCCTCACCCATCGCCATCGACGCGAAGGTCTACAGTTTGCCCATCAACACCAGAACTGGCAACACAGGCAATGGAGAACGGTTCTGTTTACAGATGAGAGTTGGTATTGCGTATCAACTGCAGATGGCAGGACCAGAATATGGCGTCGACGTGGCCAGTGTTATTCTGACCAATGTGTTATGGAACGAGACTCATGGGGAGGTCCAAGCATAATGGTTTGAGGTGGAATCGGCCTGAACCAGAGAGTGGCATCACAGCATTGTGCTACATCGATCAAGCTCTCAAGCTCTCATACCAAATTTCGCACATCATCTAAATAACGTTTTCCAGCATGACAACGCCCGTGCCCCACACTGCCAGAGTTACTCGGAACTTTCTACAGCAGAATGGTGTCAATGTTATGCATTGGCCAGCCCTTAGTCCGGACTTAAACCCGATTGAACATCTTTGGGATGAAATTCAGAGGAGACTTAATAACGTCGTACCGAGACCAAACACAGCCAATTGATTGCGCCAGGCTTTTTTGAGAGTGTGGTTCCAGGTGCCAATGGTGTTCATCAATCGTCTGGTCCACACCATGTACAGACACTGCGCTGCTGTTATTGACACTCGCGGTGGACACTAGATACTGATGTATAGACTGTGTACAAACTCTAAACCTTCTCGTAATGTCTTGGAATTGTGATGAATTAATCACTAATGTGTCAACATCCTGTTCACAAAAAATTTGCTTTGATCCATTTAGTAAGTGGTTTTCTAGAATGATTTGATTAAAGTGCCTCTCTGATTTTGAAATCGTACTGACGTTTTTTTTGCTGTTTAGTATATACACACAAAACAAGCAAACAAACACAATAACACTCCATATTTTTAGTATATTATTATGGGCATAATTAAACCTTAAAGCTGCTGATTATCATTTGTATTTATCAGACAATATCAAATTTTCCATGGCTTAATCCACGTTAAAATGTACTCGAAGTTAATTAAGAAAACAGAACCAAAATATCAATAGTAGCTGATCTCCTAATTTGGATTCAATGGATTTAAAAGAGGCCCATCAAAAGATTTTAACCAATACTTCTATCATCTGCAGAGGATCATGAATGTTGTGAAATTTTCAGTTTATCATATCTGAGAACCCATGCTATGCAAGCGGCACAGATACTATGTTTATAATGATGTCAATTGGAGGATGGGGGCTGAAGCCCTACAATAATTTGCAAATATTTGTTCCTACAGTCAACAGTACCATTACATTGGCAGTCCCCATAATATGAGTTTTATTTCCCTTAAAGGGGCATTATGTAAAAATTAGATAAAGAGCTGGCCATTCTCACTATAATATTTCAATAATAGATAATGCAAAATGAATATATTGAAAGTTTCATTCAAATTACTTTATTTTGTGCAAAGTTTTCAATGGTTGTAGTTTTGCATTAATTGTAACTACTGTATTGGTCATTTGAGTCTTAGCTTCGCTTCTCCATTTTTAAATTAAATCATTAATTAACTGAACCGTTGTAATTTACTTAAAATCGGAGGCATCTGATAGTATCAAGAGTTGATCATGGTCTTGTCATGTTAATAAATGTCTAATCAATAATTTATATAACATTTAAGGCCCAAAGAAAGACTTGCAGTAGGCAGAATTAGCTCTTACATAATTCCTGTTTATTTACAAGTAAACATCGTTATGTGTTTAATGGAGACCCAAAAACTGTTTTGATTTAAAATGTTTAAAAGTGAGGTGTTTAAATCGCTGATTAGAAAGATGAACATAATTGAATAATAGCATATGTAGGTTAATGGTGTGTCTTTATTAACTTAATAGGAAAGTGAAAATATCAAAATGAAATTTATTTTCTATTTAATTACAATCACCTTTAGATTTAACATTAAAAATTTTATAACATGTAAACAATATTGTAGTTTATCTAGTTTATTACAGGTTGAAGAAACATTTGTATCTTTGCCAAAGTACATAATTCTGTTTCAATGAATTAAAATTTGAACTTATATACTTTATAATATTAAATACACATGATGGATGAAACTTAAAAAGAAAAAGTTGAAATATTGAAATCTCAAATAAAATATTCTTGGCAAGCAAAGAAAAAAGAGAAAAGATAGGAAAATAAAGACAAAACAAAAATCCATTGATGAAAAAAACAAAACTTTGAGATATGTAAATGGTGTTGAAGTAGTTGAAGGGTATATATTTAAACTATGTAGAAACTCACAGTTATTTGCATTAGATTTGAACAAAGTTTGTACAAGATGTTTTTATGAGATATAATGGGCATTACAACGGCTGAACTGACTCAAAAATTTGAATAATAAAAGTTAAGTAATCCAGGAAAGACTTTTGGCACCTATAAAATTTGCAGGGTTGATGTGACCTTGTCTACAATGTACAGTATGTGTAAGTTTTTATATATGTACATTCACTAAAACATGTCAGTTTTTATTTTAAACCTGTCATTATTACAATAGGTATAATACTATATTCACATGCTGCATGGTTACATACAGCTCAGTCATTAATTATTAGTCAAGTGGTCTAACACCATAGATAATTAAGCTGTCACTGAGTCAAGTGGTGGTGGTTTTTGATCCCAAGCTTCAATGAGTAGGGTCTTCTGCCCAACTTCATGGTTTCCTACCACTACTAAAAACCATTACGTGCAATGCAGTTATTGAAATAAAATTTTATCATATGTTAGTTCCAAAGTGATCTAATTTATGTTGAGTGGACATTAAACTCTCTCTCTCTCTCTCTCTCTCTCTCCCCTGTGAAACCAGAGGAGACCATAGGTTTTCTCTCCTTCTGTCCATGTCTGCATTATCCAAGTCAGTGCAGCAAAAGTGGGACATTAATTACACTGCTGTATAAAGCAGAGCTACAGATCAGTTCTTTGGGATTCCGGGAAGTCACTTTGTTGACTTCAAATCAATCAAAATTTTGTTTTCCAGAATTATTTGAGATTTAAACTTTGAGATATTTGATTGAAATCTAGTTCACAGTTTTACATAGTAGAGTTACAGAGCAACTCAGTGAAAATTCCAATTAATTTAATTATGACACTTCGCTTATTCTGTGTTGGGCAATTTAATTTGCTGAAACACACCTGCTGTGTTGTCTTTGGTTTTGTTCAGTAAAGAAAGTGGGATATTTTTTTTTTTTTTTTAAGATTTACTCAGGTTCTGGTCTAGTTTTTTTGTCTTAATCCTACATGAAGGAATTTCTTCTCTGTACTCAACAAGTGGTCCTTACACACAAGCCTGTGTAGATTTTACACTGTGGCTTGTCGAACCAAGTTTAAACATCTACCGGGTAGGCCTACCGAGAGTCAGAGAAGTTAACGTTTTTACCACTTAAGACTGTTTACTGACTTAGGTTTCTGCACTAAATGCCTTGAGTATAAGGCTGGTGAGATTAAAAATCTGAGACTTG